TTCAACTGTGCTGACAGAATTGAACATAAGTGTGCCTACACTAACAGTCCAGGATGGGATAAACAGCAAAAAGGTTGAGTAAGGACAAAAACCTTTCTGTTTATCGCAACCCCAACCTGTTTGACCGGCACAGAACGGAGTGGAACGCCATCAAAGAATGTTTGAGAGTCTGTTTACTTCATCCCTCATCCCTCTCGAAGTCATCCTTTAAATGTCAATTGTGTCTTTTTATTGGATATCTCCTTCCTGGCGTTCAGGACATGTTCGTGAGCTCAGGCCTAATAAAAGACAGGAAATGTGGGTTCTTCGCAGACTGTGGCCATTTCTATAGCAGCAGGTGGAGCAGAGCTGGCAAGAGCCATTGCTTGATAGCGGGGTTCATATTCACAGTTCTGTCTGTGGTGAGTGCAAACTTTTCGAGCCTAATAGACTTTGGCTTCTGAGAAGGTTTTGCGGCCAGGTGCACGACAGGGTGTCCCTGCGTCTGTTATGTACCGTCCTGTGCGGAGAGGACAATTCCCTCCGGCCCTTGACTAATATAGTTAATCATGCGGTCGGCCCTGAGGCCAGGACAGCCAAAGCTAACTGGAAAGTACACAGAGACAACAGACAGGCGGAGGTGTTCCACGAGCTAGCCGGATCGTATGCACTCATCGACAGGCCCAGAGAAGCAGACCTCCCTGTCTGTGCGGGATTGTGGCCTTCACCTGCCGGAGAAACCGACAGCGGCAGACCAGCACAGTAGAGCAGCCTCTCGCAATAATGAGACAAAACCCAGAAATACAGCCTTCTAACTCTCCAGAATGAGTAACGGTAACTTAAATTACACAAACTGTGGAAGAGAGAGGAAAAATAGAGGGAGGAATGACAAAATATATTATGAAATATGTTACTACATATTACAAAGCCACTATATATTAAATATTTCTAATATAACATACTGCATGCTAATCTTAAGCTCATAAAATACTAAAGAAAAAATCATTAAAATTTAAAAATATTTGTAAAAAGTTCTGTAAAAAGCAATAATAAAAATAAAGAGAAAAACGACAGGAAGCATTCATACTTCAGGGAATGATGCACATTACATTTATTGTCAAGCATTTGTAGACTAAATCAAGAGGCCCTGGAGCTCAGCAGCAAATGCGTAACACTGGGGAAAATTCATTTCAGAATGACATGGATTCCTTTTCATTACGCCGCACCCCTTCATCTGGGGGAGATATCAAATCGGCCCTGTTTGTTGTGTTGCTGAGTTCCAGAGAATACATCAAAAAACAAAGAGGAGGAGAAGAAGGATGAGCGAGGAAGAGATAGAGAGAGAATGACAGTTCTGTCAAGCGCTCCCGTAACATTCGGCTTGTTTTCTAGTGGAGTAACAAGAGTGGAAAAAATAAAACCGTTTGACAAGTCTCTGTTCCAGACCAAACTAAAAAGAGATGCAAACAATAACCGCGGTAAAAAAGCCAAGCGCTGAGATCCCGGCTGTAGCAGGATGGGTCCATATCGACGGTGTGCTTGCAGAAGAGGTAAGCTTTTCAACACCGCTGGGGAGAAAATGACTGATGGAGATTCTTTACGCTCCAATTAGTTGGAGTTCTGCAAGGGCTCTCCCACGTTCTTTCCCCACATCCTTTCTTTCTGTCATTCACATACAGCAGAAGCTCTGGCGAGTCCTTTTCTTCTTCTGAACCCCGTCTCAACAGACCTCACAGGTAAGCTAGCATGCATTAATAAGACAAGCTTGTAGCGCCTACTTGACCTTCCCAGGTTTCCTCATTCCTCCTTTTGAACCTTTAATCAATTCAGGTCAGAGCAATTTCTCTTTTTTTCCATAGAAACTTTAGAAGCAAGTCCAAGGGGAGTGATGGAGGCAACAAGAGCGAATTGGGGTTAAGTGCATCGCCCAAGGGTACCACCACACTACAATCAACCGCTGAATTATTTTCCTCCTGTCTAGCCTAGCGGATACAGTTTTCCCCCAACTGGCCCCTCAAAAACACAGGTCCCATATCATTCAAACCATCCTTAAAATGATTTACAGAGCAGGCCCTGGTAAAGCAGCGTATAGTTTGTGTGTTACAACCTAAAGAAGTTGATTTGCAGTGGAAAGGAAGTGCAGGCGAGGAAAGCAGCTATACTGACCTTGAAAGCAGACTGAGAAGTAGACAGCATTCCAGTGAAAAGAAATGCAGAGGAAGAAAGAGAGAAATACAGTTGAGGTGAAAATACACACAGAGTGAGATGGGTTAACTTGGAAAGCTGGGCAAGACAAAAAGAGTTAACAGTGCATGAGCCTTTGCATGTAGACTTACTGATAAATTAATAGTGAAAGGAAAAATTAAATAAGAGAGATGATGGCAGAACCTGACAATGTGACATGCAATCTCACGGGCTAAAAAAAAAAAACAGATGCATCTTTAGTAAGGCTGTAAGTAGATTAAAAATTGATTATATGATTATGCCGATTAATTGTACCATTTATTTACAATTAACCTAACAAAATTTGCAGAGAAAATTAGAAAAGCCTAAATGTATAAAAGGGGCTTTAAAAATTAAATAGTAATAATAATAATGTAATTAAAAATTAGAGGAACATTAGCAATTCATCACAATATACAGTGTACAAAGCCAGTTTTATTTAAAAACTAGACTAGCTAGACTCCATTCATTAGCAAATGGCTGCAATATAACAAAGAGTGAAAAATTTAAGGGGGTCTGAATACTTTCCGTACCCACTGTATATATATATTTATATTACACATTTATTATATAATGTCATTTATATAATTTAGTTTATTCGTTAATTTTTATATATTTTATGTAATAATAATTATTATTATTATTAGTAGTAGTAGTAGTAGTAGTAGTAGTAGTAGTAGTAGTAATATTTATTTTATTTTATTAAGAAAGATACTATGTTGGGTGACACTCTAGACATTCTATTCTGTACTGCTTATGTTTCGACATTAAAATAATAAAAATGTGCTGAATTAATGTTACATTATTTTCCATACTAGCATGGACTGCTTCTTACCCAAAACTCAAAGGGAAGTTATATAGAGACTATCCTTACAAATAGTGCTTCTGTTGTGCTTTTTTCATTTGTTTTACCTCTATTTCTTTGCCACAAATCTATTCTAGCTCCCCCTTTTAGCTCCCTCTCAAACAGTGAGCCTTACAATCCTGAATAATTACCTGCAAATTTACCACTGCTGAATGCATGAAATAAATACCCCAATGCCCCAATTCAACCTCTGCCATTTTTCTGTGACTTTGAAGGCATTTTCGAACAAGGCCTGCCTCCGCACCATTGATCTGCAACAAGAGGAGCTTTGGCTTCTCCATCTCCGAGTGAGAAAGGTAATCCTGACTCACTCTGAACACAACGTATCGCTTCTACCTGCCACTCACGTCTTGATTAAAGACGCAGGCACTAACAGAAGAGGATCTGTCTGAATAACTCTCCGTCACAACCACATCAAGAATCAAACTCCAGAGTGCCAGAAAACTACAACACAGAGAGAACAATTGGAGGTTTTTGAGAACCGAACTCCCTGGTGTGCTCTGTTAAGAAAGTGTGAGACATTCAATGCAAGTCAGATGAATATTTATGAATCAACAGAAATCAACGGCCTTCGATCAAATAAATGTCCCTGTCAGGGCTCCAACCGCAGCATTGAAAGGCCTGACGAAGGGTGAAAAGGAGTAGTACACGACTGTGAATGCACAACATCAACATCCGTGACCTCTTCACCACCAGGCCAGACTCTCCCTCACATTCTCATCTGTTTACACTCAAGCACTATTTCAATTATTCATCTCCTTTATTTATTTATGAAAGCCAAGATGGGAGAATGTCTATATTTGCCTTCCATTAATTAGTCCAATTAAACAGGCCGAAAACATAGGCGTTTACACCATGGACATAAAGTGCAAAATATCCAGAAAAATGCTCTGGGAGGAGCAGACATGCAGTTGAAGGTGCGCAATCTATAAAGGTGGTGCTCTTTGAAACTCAATTCTCCACGTCAATGGACACAGAACATACTTTGGGATTAGCGCAATGTGTTGGAGATTACAACTAAATCTATGCTTGCAATGAATCTACCAGACATGCTCAATGACAATGCCAGCATCCCATAACGCTTTGGGATAAGGACTGAAGTTGCCCTCCAAAGTTACACAACTCATTTCTGGTCTAACACCAAAATAAATGGAGGACAAGAGATGACTGAGTGGGTGAGAACGGCAGTCATAAAAGAACACAAACCGAAGGCACCATCATCTTCGTTCTTACCCCAAACAGCTCTTTTAGCCCTAAGCGGTTCTCCAAAACTAAAACCGTTGAGGAGACATACTGGCCACTTATGTGCACCCAGTTGAACTATACAATGACAAATGGGACACTCCACGGTCTTGTGGACTCAGATACAAACCAAAGAAACAAGTGCACTATTTTGGACTGAAGTGGTGACTTATCTGTTAGCAGCGATATAGAAATAGGAACATGTACACTAGGGTTGTTGCAATACTCAGTACAAGAGACATTTTTACTGGCACTGTAGAAAGGCTGGTATTGTTGCCTTTATTTCAGCAGGTAATCATGAATCCTGCAGTGGAAACACGGAAATAAAAAAGCTTTATGGCAGATGGAGAACGGAAAATAAATTGTGGAAGTTGCATAATTGAAAAATTTAAAAATATTGGGCTAAATAAAAGATAACTGAACATGGAACTGAAGATCACATGCGTAGCAACAAACATGGTAAAACTGACACAAACAGAGTAAGAGGTTGCAAGTATCCAGTCATTTGGGGGTTTGATCCCCGAAAGTGACCTAATTCGGAAAGAACCTTTCTTTGCAGACATCTTCAGTAGGAAATCACATTCACAAATTAAATAAATTATGTTTAAAGGGTTTAGATTTGTCAATAGTAACTACATAAAAGAAGTCTACAGTATGCCTTCATTAAGAATAAACATGTGTGTTTGTGTACCTCTCCAGCTCGCTGATCTTGCGATCCTTGTCGTTCTTCTCATTCTCCATCTCTCGGAGGATTTCCAGGAGCCGGTCCACCTCGGCCTGTGCCTTCCCAGCATCCTCCTTGTAACGCGCCACCTCCTGCTCGAGTGTAGCAATGCGCTCCGACAGTCCTGTATTTGCCTGAGCCTCAACCGCAACAGACTGAGCCTGTAGAGGTCAAACATAGAGTCTCAGGGGGCAACCACAACAGTCTGGATTTTTCAAAATGTTAAATAATATAATTATAAATTAAAATAATAATACATTCATAATTTTAAATGAATTCATCAATTGAGATGATGATAATAAAGATAAAAAATTTAAAATTAAATACAATTAAAATGAAAAAATAAAAATTATAATATAAAAAAATAAAAATAAAAAATAAAATACAATAAAAAATTAAATGAAATGAAAAAAAAGAAGAAAAAAAAAGAAAGTAAAAAATTAAATAAAAATTTCTTCAGCCCTCCATAGACAAACTGTCAGTGGTCAGACCAGTTATGGGTATGTGTGTGTCTGTGGGCTGTTTCGAGATCTCAGACACTCGACTCACGCCTGCAGGCTCTGCGTAAACTCCCCATGACATCACAACAGGATACACTCTCATTACAGGGACACATGGAAACACAATCATGCTGAAGTCATCAAAATAATTAGTGACATTACAGCCGTCTAAAGAGCCGGGTCAAGGACCTCCTCAAATGAAAAGTAAATCAGTTAATTCCCCTGGACAATTAAAGGAGTCAGCTGTAATGTTTCTTTCATAAAAGTCCTCTAAAAGGACACAGGTGTCTTCCTGCTGCAAAAATACTGCTGTGAAATCACAAACACAGTACAGGCTTTATGAGGTGAGGACACAGGCGCACTGTCATTTACACCAGGACTACAAGCACATAAATGTGTACAAACCACGTCTGAATGCAGAGGACATTCAAAGAGAGCTTGAATGTATCCAAAATATGGTTACAAAACTAACCAGGCATGAAAAGTGATTCAAAAAACGTTTTCCTCACTAGAAACCTGCTGCAGTGCTGGTATAAAAATACAGCAAAGAGTCTGGCATCCAAGGTCTCTTCAGACTGGGACTGTGTGAAAGAGGACTGTTCTGGTTTATTGAGGATAATATTTGAAGGTGGCGTTTAGGCCCCGCTAATTAGCTTTATTAAAGTCTCGGCCTGAGGTTGAGTAGGTTTCCACTCTGACCGCCAAGAGTTTGTCATCTGTGGACGGACCAGCTGGTGCATACGAGTGCATGTAACAGGCTACATCTGGCAAAGAAATGAAAGTTTGTATATGAAAACACACGATAGACGCATTTAATGTGCAATTAGCATCAAGAATGTGTCAAAGAGGGCGGAGCAAAAACAAATCTGTCAGTACAAGGCACTTTCCATGAATAGGGTCTACAACGTCAAAATGATGTAAATGATGTAATTATTTATTTTCTTTTTCAACAATTAGTCAGTGAAAGGAGGCGCTTAACTGTCAGAAAATGGTAACAAAAATATACAACTAAAAATTAAATATAATTTGAGCTGTTTATTTTCTATTCATTTTCTGTAAATGGAGGTTTACCATTTTTTCCAACCGGGTTACTAAAATGTTGTTATTAAAATGTTTAATAACAAGAAGGGGAAAAAAATAATCCTGTAACTGTTATTTTCTATTGATTAAATATGAAAATAAAATAAAATAAAATAACTGGTAATGCTGGTTTGACAGACCGATTTTCCACAAATTAAAGAAAAAAATATATATAATTTTCTCCTTAAAATAACTTGGAATGGTAAAGTTTGACAAATGCACACAACATCAAAAAAGTGTGTAAAAATGAGACAATAGATTATTTACTTTTAGTACATTAAATGTCAAAATAGTGACTTTGTTGCAATTTTTATTGGTAGGTGCATCCATCCTATATCTAACAATTAAAGCATATATATATATATATATATATATATATATATATATATATATATATATATATATATATATATA